CTCCCTGTCTCGTGGACAGGGTGTGGCCCCCCTGGTATATTTCTCTCGCCCAGAAATTCTTATTAATTCCAAAAAGTGCCTCCGTGGATTTTCAGGACATTCTTTTCTACACATAAAACAACATCATGGCAGTTCTGCTGAAAACAACATCAGTCCGGGTTAGTTTCATTCAAATCATGCAAGTTAGAGTCCAAAACAAGGGCAAAAGTGTTTGGAAAAGTAGGTACGTTGGAGACGTATCAACCTTCGATGTTGAAACAGTACACAACGGCGACTAGAGTTTTTTTCGTAATTAAGCACGACTTCAACTATTTCAACGTGTACTTTTCATCTTTTCCAATTCGACTAGCTTATCCTATGCTATGCAAGACGCTATGTCTTGGAGAGGATGGGTTTTGAAGACCATGCAAGTATGGAAACAAAGAAAATTCACCTAAGGACCCATCATGGTGTGGATTTTGAAGTAAAGGTGTACAACTCTGAGAGTGTAACCCATTTTGGTTGCAAAAATTGGGAAACACTTTGCAAGATATATGGTTTTGATGAGGGTATGCTTGTCACCATGGATCTTGGTGATCCTAAAATCGAGCAAGACAATATGGACATTTGGGTCCTTGTTGATACGTTTCCAATTCTTCCCCTATGTGAGCTTCTCAAACATAGTTATTAAATAATTTATATTGTTTATTTCAAAATAGTTGACAACTTATTTCCATTGACAGCTTATTTTCATTCTTCAAAGAATGTGCGGAAGATGGTAGACAAACCCACTACACCCATGGCTCCTAATTAACTTATCAGGAGAAAAATCATCTGATCGCATTTTGTACTGATCTTGAGAATTACAATATCTACAATCGAACTCCTCAACATTATGGTCAATACGTGCCACTAGTGCACGTGTTGAACTACGGTAACTACCATGGAGATACCCTGGTAAGATTTTTTACTATTACAACATCCGTGCATCTTTTGCATACTTCTAAAACTAGTACATCATTGCTAACTATGAAGTTATTACTATGTTTTTCAACAGATAATCCCGAATGATTGTGTGCCTCATCTAATGTATCAGCATGGTCGCCTTAATGTTTTGGACATACAACCAGACCATCCTACGAATTTCAACTGTCCATACCGGATTTCTAAAAAAAGTGGAGAGATGACAATCAAAGAATGGAAAAAATGTATGGACAGCTGTAAGGAGGTTCTTGGAAGCAAAAGTAAGCGAAGCGCAAGAATTGGAGACAGGATGATCTCCATTCTCCATAATGGAGAGTCAAGGTCTATATTGTTTTATGCTATTTTACCTTAAAGAGGGTATTTAGGTCCTACCTAATACTGATGATCATGTGCTAAGAACAATTAAGTAGGGTTGGTTCGATGACTATGAGGATGATGATCGTATGACTTGTTATTAATAACGAGTAGAAGTTGTATGATGATGATTAGTAGGACTTGTTATTATATATGATGATGCATGATGCGAGCATGAAGAGTTATTATATATCAGCGGGTGAAATAAACATGGATTCGATTGAAGTGAAGGCAACATGCATGTGGTGCATGTCGAAAGTAGTACAATCCAAACTTGATCAAGTTAGGATTAGTATTACTTTGAACATGCACCACATGTTGCCTTCACTTCAATCTAAGCCATGTTTAGGCATAGTAGTAGCATTGGTAAACCAAACACGGAAATATAAGAGAGAACACTTCTCTCTATTAGCTAGCTAATAACAACCTAAGTGAACCCCCAAAACCCCTAAACCAGCCCCTTTAAAAAAAACCTCAGCTCCAGCTAGGTGCTGACGCGTGGATGCCTTTTGGTCCTGGTTTATGTCACAAACCGGGACCAAAGGTCCCCCTGCCTGGGCTGGCCGCAGCGGCCACGTGCAGGCCCATCTGTCCCGGTTTGTGTAAGAACCGGGACTAAAGGCCAAGGACATTAATAACGACCTTTTAGTCCTGGTTCCTAAACCGGGACAGAAGACCCTTACGAACCGGGACAAATGGCCTTTTTTCTACTAGTGGTGCATTGTGGCTTACCAGGAATGATGTGGTTTTTAACAATAAATGTGTTTCATATCCCGTGCAGGTTATTCATGCGTGTACGCGATGGCTCCGTACGTGGTCTATCCTAGAGAGGTCAAATACCTTTTTTATGATGGCGTCTACACAGTTGAGCATATGGTCAGGGAGGTTTTCTCCCAACATGGATGGCGGTGTAATCTCCGGATATGATTTGCCCCACCCTAGGCTGAACTGATTTAGTTTTGTTGTAAAACGATATATATTTTTAGGCTTGTTGGACTCGTTGGCTATGTGGATCGCGCTATGCAGAGGCCGGGCATTCTTTCAATGCGGTTGTATCACCTTGATATATCAACTGAATGAAATGTTCTTTATTGAAAAAAGCTCCCTGTTGTTGGCACTTCTGATTGGTATATATTGATTACATGCTCATGTCAGGGACTTTGCTACACCTAAGTAATTTACCAACGTAAATTTAGGGTTTAGGGTTAAACCCTAAACATATGTACTAGCTGATTTGGCTTAATTTGGTTGGATGAATCATTAGGTCCTGGGACACACCGTGAAAATCAGAGGGGGGGGGGGAGGGGCTGATTAGTTTAGAAAGAGTATAAGAGCATCTCCAATAAAAGATGCAAATTTGGAGATGTAAAACAAGAGATGTAAAAATTTACATATCAAAAAAGTGTTTTTTACATCTTCAAAAAAAGGCAACTCCAACAGATGATGTAAATTGGTGATGTAAAAGCACATCTCCAATAGATGATGCAAATGGGGATGTAAAAGCTAGAATTGGGGTGGCTGAGCGACGATGCGGTGGTGCCAGGGATAGGCTGCGGCGTCGGGGATAGATGGACGGGCGGCGACGTGACGTTTTTGGGCACAAATCGCTGGCGGCGGATGCGGGCAGTCGGCGGAGTGGCAGACTCAAATCGGCTTATGTACTAGTATGATTTTTCTTTGGTAAGATGGCGGTCTAGCTAGTTCAAACTTACCCTTGTAGCTGCTAGTACTAGTAGTGGTCCAATGCAAGTAGAAGTGTTCACACACGAACACGTCACCGTGTATCTTCAACATAGTTTTAAATAGCGCGCTAAGCATCTTAGCGGCGGACCTCTTCCAAATGATATAGTGCTATAGCGGAGCTATAGCGCGCTATTTAAAATGTTTGTTCATTTTTTTGGACCAAAGTCTCTTAACGCGAGACTTTTTGTAAACGCTATAGCGGGCTATAGCGGAGCCATAGCGGGCTATTTAAAACAGTGATCTTCAACGCCGAGGGTGATGCATCGCAGCTCACGTCGAAGGAGACCCGTCGGGAAGCGCGGTTCGCAAGCAATCTGGCGGGCGCTTTTGAGCACCCAAAACCCCACACGCCCGTGAGGGACCCCGTCTGGACGCGTGGCGGATATGGGCTGCCCTAGGTCGGTTCACCCGCCCCTAGAGCCTGAAGGATCGCTGCCCTTCAATACGAAGAACGAATAAAGAATGAGAGAGAAAGAACAAGAGAGAGATATAAAGCTAGGGTAAAAAGTAGATGGGTTTTTTCGATTGTGTGTTGTTGTTCAATCGGCTGTCACCCCTTAGGTATATAAGAGGCGGATGGACTTTCCGTGCAAGGAAATGTTAGAATTCACGTTCAAAACCCTAGTTTGGGTCCAACTCGGAATCTAACTTTCCAAAACGGTTCGGTTTGCAACTTGCGGCAGAAAAATCCAAAACCCGGACAAACATCCCCAGAGTGTCCGGCCACCCTCGGAGAAATCCAAAACCCGGATGAACATTCCTGGAGTGCCTCCTGATGCAACTGCACATTTTCAGCTCTAACTTTTGCATACGAACTCTGATTGAGACGTTTTTTATATCAAAATGAACAGCTTCGAGGAGACGCACAACTTTCATGTTTAAACTTTTTTTCATTTGAAGCAATCTTAATTGGGTTTAAAGCCATTCTTTAATCTGGTGTCAACATGAGCATCTCTAAACTTGTCATAACTTTTGCATCCGAACTTCGTTTTAGACCATCTTCATACCCATCTTGATGTTCTCGAAGAGAGCCATCCCATGGTGACTTTCAATAATAAGTTTAAATTAATCTTGACATAGCTTCAAGCTACTCTTCATGATCGTGCCATTTTTGAGCGTCAACAAAAAGCTTCGTCTAACCCTGAGAAATGGGAACACCTGTGACTAGTCAGACTCATAGCCTTGAAGTTTCCCACCGACGAAACCCCGTACGTACTGCTAATGTGCAAGGGAGGATAGAGGGACACGTGGGCGCATGGTTAGTGCATGGACGATACATCCTCCTCCATCTCAATCGAGCGTTGTAGCATAGTGGCGCAAGTTGCATCGTACCATCGTGGTCCATTTATACCTTCCCCAATAATACTACTCTACTATGCAGATGCAGATGCTTGTGGTAGCAATCATCGTACACCCCACGCGGTGCACGTCAAGTGAGGTGGGTCATGTGGACGGACGAGGTTGAGAGAGAGCGCCATTTTGATGCCAAGCTTGATTGCTACGTGAGTCGTCCTGAGGCCGAGGTAGGTAGACGGACGCAGTCAAGGGAATCACTAGTGCATGCCTGCCTTGCCTTGTAGTAGTATAATTAAGAACCATCACCATATAGTGTTTGGTTCAGGGACTTTTTAGTACCAGAGACTAAAAAAAGTCTCTAAAAAGTCCCTAGGAACCAAACGGGAGAGACTTTTTGTACAGGGACTAGAAAAAGACTCTACTGAAGAGTCTTTTTTATTAGTCCCTGGGACTAGAAAAAGTCCTAGACTTCTAAACCAAACACCCCATATATACTTGTTCTTCTCCCGCGAAAAGTATTGGTTCCTCTTCTTTCATTCCAGAAAAAAAGGTTCATGCATGCATGCATACATCCATCCAGTTGCTCTCTCTATTTTCATTTTGCTGTCAATTTACGGTCGATATGTATATATATATATGTATAGATGGGCATCACGGTGACGGTGAGGCGGGCGACCATGGTGAGGCCAGCCAAGGAGTTGCCGCGGTCTCGGCTATGGAACTCCCACCTCGACCTGCTGGTGCCGCGCTTCCACACGCCAAGCGTCTACTTCTACCGCTGCCCTGAGGAGGGGCCGCCGGAGGGGTTTTTCGACGCCGAGCGGATGCGGCGAGCGCTAGCTGACGCGCTCGTCACCTTCTACCCGATGGCCGGCCGCCTCGCCCGGGACAAGGACGGGAGGATTGAGATCGACTGCAACGGGGAGGGAGTGCTCTTTGTCGAGGCCGACGCGCCCGAAGCCACCGTCGCCGACTACGGTGACTTTGCGCCCACCATGGAGCTCAAGCGACTCATCCCGGCTGTCGATTACACGGACCAAATATCATTCCCACTCGTCCTGCTCCAGGTCAGCTCATTTTCTTATGCCGGTTACAGTTATTGGGAGCTTAGCGCGTCTGCAACGCTCGCCCACAAATTTGCTTCAGCGTCGTCTGTCCGTACTCCGTAGACAGGGACCAGTCTACGGATATGAATGCGCGACCATCCAACGCTGCCCGCATGCATTTCAATCACTGTTTGAGTCAAATGGATGAAATCCATGCAAACACGGGACTTAATTAAAGTTCAATAAAATTTACATAAACCGGGTGATATTTCCACCGTTCAACTAGAAACTCTAAAAATAAAACCTAAACCATATATCGGAGGACCACCTCGTACGCATGGCCGCCCTATCCCGCCGCACCGTCATCGTCGTCCATGCTGTCGTCATCCCTCCAGCGGCAGAAGGGCTCGTGGATGCCTGCTGCTCCCAGAGGAGCCGGCTCGCCTCCTGTTGTCCGGTGCAGTGGGCCGCCTTGGCCACTGCTGATGGCACCGGCGGAGCACCGACGGCGGCCTTGCCCCTGCCTGCGTTGCCGGAGCCGTCGCTAAGCGACCGCTCCTCGCAGATCTTGGCGAGCTCACCCTCAAGGCGGTGGCGGTGCCTGGCGGCCGCCACGGTGGTGGTGACAGAGCGGTCGAGCGCCCACGTGGCAGCGAGGTCCCCCATTCCGGTGCCACGTCCGTCTTGGTGAATGCGGAGCGGTCAGCGGGCCTGTGGTGGTCATACCATGCCCGCTACCTCGCCGCGCGCACTGCCTCGGATATGACAGCCCTCGAGCCCGAGGCACTGCCATAAATGCCCCCGCTGAGGTAGTGAAGGATATGGACACACACCTTCATGATCGCGGGCGGCAGCTCCTTATTTATCGGGTGGCGGCGGCGACGACGAGGGACCGTCAATTCGGGCATAACAGTTGTGTGACGTGAGGCGCCGCCGACTCGTCCCTGATGCGGTGGAGGCACTGGGGACGCGGGCTCCTCCTTCCCGCGCCAGAGTGGGGATGTTGGCTCCCGCTTCATGCGGACGTGCGTCATGGACTGACTCCTCCTTCACGCGCGCTGGCGATGATGGTGCCGGGCCCATCTGACGGAGCGAGCGCTCCGTCACGATCTCCATCTGACAGACGATCATCCCTCAGAGCCGCCTCCACGAGGAGATGTGGCTGCTGCTGCAGCTGCTTGTCCTCCTCGTCGTCGGAAGAGATGACTGCCTCCTTCTTGATGGAGGAACCCACCGCCGTACACACTGATGGTCCCAGAGAGCGAGGACGGTGCCATGATCGGCCTGAGGAGGGACTTGTACCACTTGTGCCTGCCATCACGGAGAACCAGGACTTCGGTATTGCCATTGGGCTCAAGATCAGTGTCTGGGAGGGGGATTGGACGGTGCTCGTGGAGGGGTAGTTTGTCTATATTCGTCACCGGCAGACGACTTACATAGGCACGAACAGACTAGACGAAGGGACGGTTAGCCCGCTTCAATGCAGCATAGTGGCCGGAGTTGGTTTCTCGGGACGTGGCGCCCGCATTGAAGCAGCGACGACCGAGAGGTCATGTCCATCAGCGCCGCCCTCCCGTCCAGTCATATCATCGGCATTAATGTCAGCCGTTGCATGCTCTGAGCCAGCGTGAATGTGGCACGGCAAGTGACGCGGGCGTTCGTTGGATAGGGCGGGGGAGGTGGGTGGGATTTTTTGGCGGGCCTGGTCAGTCAGAAGCAGACATGGCAGCGGTTCGGACGCCTGCAACACCCCCCCACTTTGTCTCTGATTTGCGAAAAAATGTGTCCTGCCCGCCGAATGGAGCAATATAGGCCCGCGTTGGATGGCTTCCAGTGTTCAGACCACGCGATCGAGACGTATGCGGTCGATTTGATGGTCGGCGTTGAAGATGCCCTTAGAATACAACCAGTTGTTGGCGCCATTTATGTCCGGGATCATCAGCGTAAAGCCAAGCATAAAGAATACCATGCCGCTAGATGAAGATAACAAAAAGTAAAAGCTGAGCACTGGCATAACCAAGGTCTAAGTAGGGTAGAAAATTTCATTTATCACTTGGTGCACTTCTATGATTTTCATATATATTTCAATACCATGCCACCAGGAGGCAACACGTGGCAGGGCTATGCCTACGGCAAAGCCGTCGGCATAGATTTACATCTATGCCGACGGGCCCTGCCGCCAGGTTAAACCAGGGGGCGACACGTGGCAAAGATATGCCTACGGCAAAGCCGTCGGCATAGATTTAACCTATGCCGATGGCTTTGCCGTAGGCATATGTTTGCCACGTGTCGCCTCCTGAGCCGCCAGCAGTTTTGACGGCGCCGTTCGTTGCCGTCAGACGGAAAACTACGCCGACGGCTAAACTATGCCGACGGCTGCGCCAGGGCCGTCGGCATACCCCCCTATGCCGACGGCATTATTATGCCAACGGTCTGACAGGAGTACGCTGACGTGATGTACACTGACGGGGCTATGCCGACGGCAGCCGTCGGCATAGATCTATGCCGACGGCTTGGGGGCCTATGCCAACGGCCCGTGGCCGTAGGCATAGCCCGCGAGTCCGGTAGTGTGCGGGGAGCTTGAAAACGCTCATAACATACGTTGGTATAGATTGAGCAATGGCCTTGATGAAAATTTCTCTTCCACTCTGAGCAAGTTGGCACCCATCCCAGTCTATCATCCTCTTCATATACTTTTGCTGCAGATTTTGGAACCGGTTTTTTGACATGCGCCCATTGGGAGTAGGAAGGCCTAGGTACTGTTCCTCAAAACCCTTGCTGCTGTACCTCAAGAGTGTGCACTACAGCCTTGCGATCAGCTGTCGGACATCTTTCACCGAACAGAATAGAGCACTTCTCTAGATTGATCAATTGTCCTGTTGCTTGCGCATAAATAGCCAGCGCCTCTTTAATATTGGATGCTTCTACCACTGTAGTGCGGAAGAAAAGCGGTGTATCATCAGCGAACATCAGGTGAGAGATGCCTGGTGCCCACGGACAGACTCGCACCGGAGTAAACTTTCCTGCTATAGCTCCCTGTTTCAAAATCGCAGCTAGACCGTCAGCCACAAAAAGGAATAAGAACGGAGAAAGAGGATCTCCCTGCCGTAGCCCACGCAACGGCGCGAATGAATCTGAGAGGGCTCCATTCAGATTAACACAATAACGAACCGAGGTTACACAAGTCATGATCCACCTCACCCATTGGTTCGCAAAACCCATCTTTTGCATCACTCGCTCCAGGAATGTCCTGTCCACCCGGTCATACGCCTTAGACAGATCTAGTTTATAAGCACAAAAACTTTTGTTCGGATCCTTCTCTTGTTTTATATAGTGTGTGCACTCAAAGGCGATCAAAGTGTTGTCTGTGATAAGCCTCCCAGGCACAAAGGCTGATTGTTCCTGGAGCCTTTCGATGAGATTCGCTGATATTTGTTTGACCCTTTCGATATAAAATTGACCATTGTTTTTGGCGCCGGGGGAGAGTAATACAACAGCTGTCACTCCAACATTATCTGCGAACATGTGTGCTACCACTACAGAACGTTGTCCCACATTTGACTACGGGTGCACTGATTGTAAGGATACCCTAATTGACTCTAGTGAAATCAAGGCGCAAAATTCTTCAATGTTTTGGATAGAAGATGACGATAGATTATTTACATGATCCTCACTAGCCAAATACATTTCTCACAAAAGCTAATGAGCAATAAAGAAATACAAAAGCCAAGCATAAAGAATACTCCCTCTGTTCTCAAATATAAGTCTTTCTAAAGATTTCAACAAGTGACTACATACGGAGCAAAATGAGTGAATCTACACTCTAAAACATGTCTACATACATCAGTATTTTATAGTCAATTTGAATGTCTAAAAAGACTTATATTTAGGAACGGAGGGAGTATATAGCATGCATGCAGCTGGAGGAAGATAACAAAAAGTAAAATCTGAGCACTGACATAATTAACCAAGGTCTAAGGAGGGTAGAGAATTTCATTTATCACTTGGTCCACTTCTATGATTTTCATATATATCTATATATTTCAAGAAACTAACGCAGCTTGTGTTTTGATCCTTGCATTTTTTACTGAACACCAGGTGACCTATTTCAAGTGTGGGGGTGTCTCCCTCGGTGTTGCCACACAACACCATGTCGCTGATGGCATGTCCGGCTTGCATTTTATTAACTCATGGTCCAACCTCTGCCGTGGAGCTAAAATTGCAGTCATGCCCTTCATCGACCGCACCCTCATCCGCGCTCGAGACCCTCCGACTCCATGTTACCCACATGTTGAGTACCATCCATCCCCAGCCATGTTGTCATCCAAGCCCCAGGATGTCTCTTCTCCTGACACTGCTGTTGACATCTTCAAGCTCACCAGCTCAGACATTGGCCGCTTGCGCTCGCAGCTTCCCACCGGCGACGACATGCCACGGTTGAGCACGTACACATTGCTGTCTGCGCATGTGTGGCGTTGTGTCTCTCTTTCACGTGGCTTGCCATCTGATCAGCCCACCAAGTTGTATTGTGCCATTGATGGGAGGAAACGGCTGAAGCCGCCGCTACCGGATGGTTTCTTAGGCAACGTTTTGTTCACCGCCACACCGATCGTCGAGGCAGGCAAGGTGACCAGAGGGCTGGCGGATGCAGCAAAGATAATCCAAATGGAGCTAGATAGGATGAACGATGACTACTGCCGCTCAGCATTGGACTACCTTGAGCTGCAACCTGATTTATCGGCCTTGGTCCGAGGAGCACAAACCTACCGTTGCCCTAACCTCGGAATCACCAGCTGGGTGAACCTGCCCGTCCACAATGCAGATTTCGGATGGGGACGGCCGGTGTTCATGGGTCCTGGCGGCGTCGCATTTGAGGGGCTCGCCTACGTCCTCCCAAGCGCACACAATGACGGGAGCTTGTCCATCGCCATCTCTTTACAGGCCGACCACATGAACAAGTTCCGACAGTTGATCTTGGCACTGTAAGCTAATTGTCATTACTTAACACATGCCAAAATTAGTTGCATGCATGACAAGAAATTTGATTTTGGATCTGTAATCTATTATTTTGAGCTTCCCTTTTGCTAGGCCAAATCTGTTACTCCTGATTTCCTGCACAATAAAACACCCATTTGGACCCTTTTTTTTTTTGAAAAAGCTCAGACTTTATTCATTTCTAATAAGTAGTACATTGTTTGTGAGGATCATTATAATTTCATTTAAAGGCTCCTCAAACCAATCAGAAGTCAAAGAAAATCTAGCTAATCTAGCAAGCTCATGAGCTACTTTATTAGCTTCCCTATTGTAGTGCAAAAAATCTAGCAGTAACGAAATCACAAGCATAATGAAAACAATCATCAAAGATTGCTGCCGCCGCACCCGCCGATTGTCCTCCATCATTCATAGTATCAATCACCTACATATTATCCAAATTTATAATAAGGCGATTGCATCCCGCCCGTTGCGCCAGTGTTAGATCAAATTTAAGAGCTAAAGCTTCTGCCATCAACACATCCACATAAAAATCTATTTTCTCATTCCCTCCAGCTATGAACCTGCCTTTGTCGTCTCGAAGGACCGCTCCCATGGAACCCCTAAGAAGATCGTGATAAAAAGAAACATCAACATTAAGTTTAATGAAACCTCTTGGAGGACAAGACCAACTCTCCTTTTTCATCGACGCCTTGGGGGATAATGCATTAACAAAAAAAATGTTAGAGCAAGAATCCCCATTGAGATCTGAGTTACATTTTGAATTTTTTCATGTGTACCAGCTTCCGTCTTTCCCACCATAGATACCATGCTGAAATAACAATCATCTCATGTACATTGTGGTAACCCAATATCTACAAATGTTAATCTGGTAGGAGTAGTAGATACACCGCCTCTCCCGCACGGTCAACTTCACAAGCTTTATCAATAATATCATCCATCCCCAGCCTTTTCCAGACCTCCTTTGCTTTACTACAGCGGAAGAGCGTATGTTTTGTATCTTCTAAACCCTCCGAGCATGTGGGGCAGATGGGTAAAACCATCATATGTCTGTTTGCTAGCGTAACTCGGCATGGGATTGTACCATGTAGCCTACACCATAAGAAAATTTTAACTTTTGCCCGACATGCTAACTTCCATATCTTACTCCAAATAGGGTTAACTGTGGTTCGCCCCATCCCATTAGAATGTTTCAATTTGCTTCCATACTGGTGATCCCACTACATAAAATAGGCGGATCAAACCGATAAAATACCATTTTTGTATAATTCCAGGTAATGAAATCTTGCATATCATGTTGTGTTAGGGGAATTGAAAGAATCCTTTGTACATCGATTGGCCACATAGTTTGTTCAATCAGGTCTTCATCCCAGGTATTAGAAGCAGGACCAATGACATCTCCTACCTTAGTTATCATATTACCTCAGGTGTTACAATTTTCCTAGTTCCATAGTTTGGGATCCAGGCATGTTCCCAAATATTGATGTTGTGCCCGTTCCCCACTCGCCAAATATAGCCATGTTTTAGTGTATTTGTGCCTGCCATTATACTTTGCCATGTAAAGGAAGAGCCTTTCTTTAACTTCGCATTTAACAGATCCTCGTCGGGGTAATATTTTGCCCTGGGATAGAACCGCACAAGGAATCAAGATTATCCAACAGATGCCATGCCTGTTTGGCGAGTAACGGCAAATTAAAGAAGTTAAAGAAAGGCTCTTCCTTCACATGGCGTACAAAAAGCTCACGTCCTTCTTTATCTCTAAAGATGGGATGTCCTAACCATCCAACAGCTATTCCATCCCCATTGTCCATTGAGCCTCCTCTGAATAATCCCCCTTTTGTTGGATTATTATCAATATAATCATAAAAAGCTAATTTTTCGGGAATTTTAAACCTAATAAACTAAGATTTTCGGCTAAACCATTGCTAACTCTTCGATATATTTCTTGCTGAAAATATCCCTGATCCCACTGATAACGATTAGGCCCAAATAATTCGATTGGGGTCATTGCTGACCCATACCAGATAGTTCCAGCAACTGGAAGCTGCAAAAAAAAAAAAACACCAGCGATACTACTGGAAAGTATAGTTTCAATATTGCCCATATGTAATCCTGTCACATAATGACCGAGGCCCTAGTATCACCAGAATCACAACATTAGAGATGTGCCTCGAGAAAGTGGGCACAACATTGTTCCCATAAAAAATAAGAAAGGTCGAGCAAAAAAAGAACACAATCTAAGTCTCCTCACAAAGAACAAGAAGACATCAACGGTGCAGCGTGAACTAAAACGATTTCATTTTACCCTAAATGTAGCAGGTGGCATGATTCACCGGCCCTTAGCAGCAATAAGCAACATTTTGAATGGAAATTTGCTTCAAACTTTACCTTGTAGCTTCCACACTTTACAAAGCAAAAGGCGCAAGCAAAATCTTCGGTGACTGGTAAGAAGGGATCAATATTAAGAATCACGAACCAAACAGAAAACATATGACTTGACCAACAAATGTTACTCAGTGATGCAAAATTGAACGTAGTTAATTGCAAAGTATCTAAACACCAGATTTTTGCCATGATAAGCATTAAAAACAAAGTACACAATATAATGAACACAGGAGTAGCCAACTCACTCAGCAACATGTCCTAGGATCATATGCAAAATCATGGACAACATAAAATCCTCCACTAGGTACTTCCTTTTGTGTTGTGTCGATACACTAATATTAGTATAATACATATCTCACCATGACTAATTGGACAAAGTAATAATTTTACCACCATAAAACATCAGAAGCTTACATTTCAATAACATGTGTACCATCGAAAGGTCGTAGCAGAAGATATTTTACTAGTTTTTTTTTCAAAAAGGGGGGACTCCCCAGCCTCTACATCAGAACGATGCACACGGCCACCTTTATAGATAAATAAAGAGGTTCAACAAGGTCCAAAAGTCTGGAATAAAAGTAAAGGCAAGCTCACACAGAGCCACAACGCCAAAGCAAAAAACAAAAAGCCACAACCGGCTGGCATAGGAAAGATAGGTAAACTAATCGCCTATCCTATTACATGACCGCCATCCAAACAGGTTGAAGATATCCCGAGCTACCATCTCCCATCGGATGGATCCAGTAACCAAACGCTCATTGGCCTCCGTCGGAGTGAGTAAGAACCACATACGGATCAGCGCAGTAGCTCGGAAGATAACCTGCAAAAAATGAATAGTTGTTGCTCTGTTAAAAGCCAAATCATTTCTGCAGTTCCAAATTGCCCATAACAAAGCACATACTCCTACGCGAATGTGTCTAGCTGTTTCGGACTCTATCCAAGCAAGCCACGTTCCAAATAACGTACTGACAGAATTCGGAAGAGTAATGTTAAAGGCAATATGCACCGTGTGCCACAACACTTTGGCCAATGGGCAATCAAAGAATAAGTGGTTGATAGTTTCATCCTGATCACAGAAACTACACCTAGTAGAACCTGTCCAGTTGCGCCTAACCAAGTTATTCTTTGTTACAATGACTTGTTTATGTACAAACCACATAAACACTTTAATTTTCAAAGGAACTTTGACTTTCCAAACAAATTTGGAGCTAGGAATGACACTAGAGTTGATGACATCAAGATACATCGATTTAACTGTGAACTCTCCAGACCTAGTGAGTTTCCAGCACAACTGATCGGAGTGATGAGATAGCTGAACCTCCATCAGTCTACTCACTAAATGGAGCCAAGCTTCCCACCGGTTGCCAACAAGAACCCTCCTAAACTGAATATTAAGGGGAATGGACTGCAAAATCGTGGCAACAAGGGCATCACGTCGTTGAACAATCCTATACAATGAAGGATACTGAAGCGCCAGCGGCGTTTCACCAAGCCAAGTATCCTCCCAGAAGCGAGTGGTGTTGCCATCACCAACTATAAACTTTGTCCTATTAAAGAAGGTTGCTTTAACTCTCATAAGCCCCTTCCAAAAAGGCGAGTCAGTCGGTCTCACTGTCACCTGGGACAAAGTCTTGGACTGAAGATACTTACTACGAAGAATCTGCGCCCACGTGGCCTTAGTCTCAACTGATAATTTGTACAACCACTTACTGAGAAGACATCTGTTCTTGACTTCAAGATTCTCGATACCAAGGCCCCCCTGGTCCTTTGGTCGACAGATGATATCCCATTTAGCGAGTCTGCATTTTCTCTTTAGTTCATTGCTCTGCCAAAAGAATCGGGATCGATAGAAATCCAGCCTTTTCCTAACACCAACTGGGACTTCGAAGAAAGATAAGAGAAACATCAGCATACTTGTGAGCACTGAATTAATAAGGATCAATCGGTCTCCATAAGACATGAGTTTGCCCTTCCAGCAGCTCAGTTTCTTCTCAAACCGATCCTCGATACACGTGCATTCTCTGTTTGTCAGCTTACGATGATGAATGGGTATACCTAAGTAAGTGAAAGGTAATGACCCCAATTCGCATCCAAACAATTGCTTATAAGCCTCTTGTTCCTCCTTGGCTCTACCAAAGCAGAACAACTCACTTTTATGAAAGTTAATCTTCAATCCGGTCAATTGTTCAAATAAGCATAACACTAGCTTCATATTTCTCGCTTTTACCAAGTTGTGCTCCATAAAGATGATCGTATCATCAGCGTACTGCAGGATGGACACCCCTCCATCAACGAGGTGAGGCAGCAAGCCACCCACCTGGCCAACCTCCTTTGCCCGCCCAATCAGAATAGCCAACATATCAACCACAATGTTGAACAAAATAGGAGACATTGGGTCACCTTTTCTCAGGCCTTTGTGTGTCTGGAAATAATGCCCTATGTCATCATTCACTTTAATTCCAACACTCCCTTTTTGCGTAAAGGATTCTACCTGGCATCGCCAAGCTGCATCAAAACCCTTCATGCGTAAGGCCTGTTGAAGGAAAGGCCATTTAACTTTATCGTACGCTTTCTCGAAATCCACCTTGAAAACAACTCCATCTAGTTTTTTCGTGTGAATCTCGTAGAGCGTTTCATGAAGGACCACAACCCCTTCAAGGATGTTCCTGCCCGGCATGAAAGCAGTTTGGGTAGGCTGCACCACAGAATGCGCAATCTGCGTGAGCCTATTAGTCCCGACCTTGGTAAAGATTTTAAAACTAACATTAAGAAGACAAATGGGCCTGAATTTCTCAATTCTTACAGCCTCTGTTTTCTTAGGAAGCAATATTATCGTTCCAAAATTCAGTTGAAAAAGTTGAAGTTGTCCAGAGAATAGATCATAATATGCCAGCACTTCTTATAGAATTCAGCCGGAAATCCATCCGGGCTTGGAGCCTTATTATTTTTCATCTGTGATATGGCCTCAAACACTTCTTTCTCAGTAATAGGAGCATCCAAAATATCATTCTCCATTGTTGTTAGTTGAGGAACATCCTCAACCCTGGACTCATCCAGAGACACACAGTTATCCTCTGGAGGCCCAAACAACTCCTTGTAATACTTGGTAATGTACAATTTTAGGTTCTCATGTCCTAAAATCGTTCCTTCATCTTGTTCAAGCTGAAAGATCCTCTTCTTTCTGTGTTTGCCATTAGCGATCATGTGAAAGAATTGAGTGTTCGCGTCCCCCTGGACAACTCGTCGGACCTTGGCCCGCAACGCCCACTTTAATTCCTCTTCGCAAAGAAGCTCTTTCAATCTCATCCCCGTGTCAAGCTTGGCATGAAGCTCCGAGGCCGGCAAAACTGTGGTTTCAGCTTTTACATCTAAGGACTGAATAAGGGAAAGGAGCTGATCCTTTTCGACCTTATAAATCCCACTAAGATGCTTAGCCCACCCACATAGGAAGCTTCTCAAGTGCCTGATCTTATTCTGCCAGCGCTCAAGCGCAGTCCTACCTCCTGCATGCTTAGCCCACTCTCTGGCTACGAGATCAAAGAAGCCGTCTCGTTCAAACCAAGCAAGGTCGAACGAAAACGCGTTTTTGTTTCCCAAGTGGGTGGCCTCACTAGAGTCCAGAAATAAAGGCGTGTGGTCTGAAATACCACGGGAAAGAGCCTGAACTGTTACAAAGGGAAACTTCTGTTCCCATTCGACGCTAGCTAACATGCGGTATAACTTCTGTTCCCGTTCGACACAAGATATTTTACTAGTTTAGTTGCAGATATACTAATATTATTAACCTAGCATATCTAGTTAATTACGCTCCGCAAATCAGGTACATGGAGAAAATGTAGAACACCTAGGGAAGGAAAATGCCAGTATATGATGCAAGCAAATGCCAATGGATTTGAAAACCGCACGAGCCCAAATGTTTGAGTAAGCGAGAACCTTCGGTCTTTTGCATAGTATTGTTGTAGTACTTGGAGTTGAAAATCACATTACCAGCTCTTAACCTGTGGAAAACATACATTTATGTTTTTTCACTTGGTTATACCAAAATGCAAATGTGTTTGTAAAGCTGAAAGTTAGAGCAAAGTGTCATAATAAGACCTTACCAAACACTAGGTTGGGACAGGCTGACTTCAGCCTGACCATAATACTGGAGTACTTCTTTAAGACATAAACAATGTCACTTGGAACAATTGGGAGAACCACTAAACTATTTTAAGATATCGGTGATTTATAACTCTTTAAATTACATGAGATGGAGGCATAAGTAAGTTGGGGTCTCTCTTTTGAACATTCGAGACTCTGCCAAAGAGATGTTTCCAATTGAACCATAGATAGTGTGCATTTTGCACTTTTTCTCCAAAACTAACAAGTAGTTTGTCTAATTACTTTCATCAGTTATATTTCAGGAGAAAAACACTAAGCTTAATGATCTGAAATTACTTTTGAATTTTGGTGGCAAAATCTAAAAATATCATCTCAACATGACAAACCCAAATATTGTGTATACTAGCAGCCAAATTTAAAAGACTGACTCCATGCATTCTGAACCAACACCAAACCCAAATATTGTGTTACCTTATAATATGAGGTAATGATGAAGGTGGGACATCACTGTATGAGTAACTATTATACGGAGATTTAGGCATGTCTCTTGCACCAACATCTTGAACGGATATGCCAACTTGGAGTTGATATGACCCCTGAAACAATAACAGCAATCTTAGACAACCTGCGAAGTAACTGACAGAAGGTCTACAATATAATCCATTGCCCTTAAATATGGAAATGATAGTTGGATCAATAAATAAAGGAACAGCGATACCCTTACTGTAGCATCAACCTTATGAGTGAAAAATGTCAAGCAACTGTCCTGCTCCAGAAATTTTGGCTGGATGTACAAAAAAAGTCAAGGCAAGTAGGTCAACATACAATAGAAGCAAGTAACGGCCACTACACCCCAAAAACTCTCTCTTCATTTTTTAGTTTCTAATAAAGTAAACAAAAATGATTTCTGAAATCTGAGGCACAACCGTAACGAAAACATATTCGCATAATCACTTAAAACTTCCATACACTACAGAATCCAACTTTTAGTGTTAACATGTATCTTATAACATGTTCTGTTACAAAGATGCAAATTGCACTACTGATTTCACAATTTGCCACCTCCACTTCTGGAACATGATTTGCTATTTAACGATAGGCACCGCGTCCTTCTAGGACAACTAAAGTTACATGCTAGTACATAGGGTAAAATTTAAAAATACAGGTGGCTAACGTAATTTATTTAGTTTGAAACTTCAGGATGCAAAGGATTGTCATCCATCTTATGGTTAAATTGCACTAGAAAAGTTGAAGTATATACATTAAGAAAGCTAAAGCTTAATAATATGGAAAAGTTCAACTTAAGTACCTCTAAGAAGCTTGGGTTCATAGTAACAGTAGAAGCCGACTCCACAGTATGTCCCAAATTTAAAGTCACGCAATTCTCCAATGACGAACCAAGTAAATTAATTGGTATTTTACCCCAGAAACATTTCCCTTCAAGCTCTGTCAAAATGCATCACGTAAATGATAGTAAGTAGTTGCACTCAATAACCCCCACAAATCATAGTTGGTTTCTGATATTCAATTTTTAAAAGGCAGATATGTTAGCTATACTGGCTACTAGACATGGCAATGTGATACAAACTTACTTCGGAGAGCAGATGCTTCCACATGGTCCCCAGTGTCGGTGTCAAAACCGGCGGATCTCGGGTAGGGGGTCCCGAACTGTGCGTCTAAGGCTAATGGTAACAGGAGGCGGGGGACACAATGTTTACCCAGGTTTGGGCCCTCTCTATGGAGGTAATACCCTACTTCCTGCTTGATTGATCTTGATGATATGAGTATTACAAGAGCTGATCTACCACGAGATCATAGAGGCTAAACCCTAGAAGCTAGCCTATGATATTGATTGTTGTTGTCCTACGGACTAAACCCTCTGGTTTATATAGACACTGGAGGGGGCTAGGGTTACACAGAGTCGGTTACAGAGAAGGAAATCTACATATCCGAATTGCCAAGCTTGCCTTCCACGCAAAGGAGAGTCCCACCCGGACACGAGACGAAGTCTTCAATCTTGTATCTTCATAGTCCAATAGTCCGGCACAAGTACATAATCCGGCTGTCCGAGGACCCCCTAATCTAGGATTCCCTCACCCAGAGTAGTTATTTTCACCAGTATTTTCTCCAACCTGCCCTTCTGAATCTGAAACTAAAAAAAGGAATCAAATGTGATGGTAGTGAGGAAACGTAAACCATACACGATCACATATGATGCACATCATACCGTAGCGGATAAGGATAATGCTGAGGTTGCAAGCTCGGGAGGTTGCTATATTCTTGACATCTGGAATTGTGAATGTGGCTTTGGTGTGGTCTTTACTAGCAAACTCAGTGAATGACGTAAGCAGACAGGCACGACTGAATCGAGATATCGGAGAATGCTGCAAAACATGATGGCATTGTTTAATGAGATCATTAATTTTGTACAAGAATGTTTGCAAATTCTATAAATTCACCATTATGCTGTAAAACAAAATAGCGAGTGGAACTGAAAAAGGGGAACACTTACTTACCCCTTCAAGTGGGATGCTATCACTAGTAGGTGTAGCCAATAAAACACAAAGGGGGAAGATGTAGTGGTCAGTATTTGTGTCTCGAGAAAGGGATACAGTTATTAGTTGAATCCTACACACAAGCACAAACACTGGTCAGCGTTTGCATGGTGCAGCAAACAAGATTCAGTTAAAGGGGTCAGAAAACTAGATACTATAAAACAGTGAAGCCTCTGCTCTCCTATCTATCTATCCTTAAAAAGAAAAAGTTTCAGAAACAGAAGAGCATGTCTTTTGACATAATAAATATGGGACCTGAATGGATGAGAGCTAAAGTTAGAGGTGTTTCATGCTACGGTTAGATTTATCCTAGTACAGAACAACAACTACAAACGTCATGTTGTAATCTTTTTAATTCCACCTCAAACTTTGCCTAAACTGCCATAACGCTAATCTGCTTCGAGATTAAAAATACTATAACTATGGAAA